GTTCTTTCTAGAGAAATGCACAAATATGTATAAACCATTTCATTATTGTAGGTCTGAGAGGAGTTAACCATTTAATTTGCAAATGTGCAACTCATCAAAAGAAAAGGCATGTTTGCGTGTATGCTGTGTTTGAAAAATGGTGGCACTGGTTCTTAAACTGACATATAAAACTGACGTATAAAAAGCACCATGCGTCAGTAAGAGATTAGAACAAATTTCCTCCATATCCTGCCAATATTAGTAATGCATATAGTCTCTATAAAGAGTGCATAAACCTAACCTCTACACTCAGATCTATAACGATCATCTATTGTTCTATTTTTGTAATTGTACTCGTTGTTGAACACGTTAATTCTAAAGGTGCACAGATAATTTACAGTATTTGTGAAATAAAATAATAGTTTTACAAATTTCAGGAGTTTTGCTCATAATTTTAAATTCTTGAAGATGAAAGAATGTGATCAACGTGGACTGGACAAGTTCCTCTTAGGAACTATTTTTCTAAATCCATGACAGGTAATCTCTACTAAGAAGTTTGATGTGTCCCATAAATGGTCTTTTACCATGTTTTAACATCTGTCTTTAACTAAAATCACCCTCAGGGTACAGTCTGCTTTTCATACTCAGTTCTACTGAGTTTTATTCAGCTACAGCTGTGCAGCAAGTGGAAGACTTTATTGAAGGAGTGGAATTTAACGAGTCAACATTTTACTTATTTCAATTTACTATTTATTCATTCTTGAATATGATTAACCTTTCATCTCATTTTCTCTTTTGTTCCTTGCAACAGGCTTTCACTGAGGACAAAGAAAGTGATGTTAATATTTGCAGTAAAAATAAATTAATAATCCTCTAGGCTCTTTGTGATGCTCCATAAATCCTCAGTTCTTTTTAGCAGTAAGAGACAAAGTGGGTTTAGACTTGAAATGTGATCACAGCAACAGCACGCCATGAGAGAACGCCACAGAAATAGTCCTTGTTGTCCTGTTTTTGGCTGCTCTCCCTCAGTCACTCCTAACCCTGTTCAAGGAAGGATTGTTATGGCTCCATTTGTTTCACGTCTCCCTTCAAACTGCTGCACTTTCTCGATAAACAGCAGAGAGGATATTTCCAGCACTTTCAGAAGGATGACAGCAAATATCTGCACTGCTAAAGCTTCTGTGGCATCTTTCAATAAGTGGAAATTTTGTTTCTTTATTTATTTTTCCTTTCTTTCTTCCTTTCTTTCTTTCTTTTTTTAAAAAAAACAAAAAACAAATCTGATGCACATTTCCCTTGGCATTCTGTCTAACGGCCAGCAGGGGCTCCTCTGGTTGCAAAACGAAGTCTTAAGAGAGCATGACCTTACTGCACTTTCCCGATCAGTTTATGCTCTCAGTCTCCTGTTTCCAGTCTTACCCAAGTGCTGATTTTGCAATTTAAGTTCTTTTGAGTAAATGAAGGTATGAATTTATTTATCATGAGTTTTTCTTTAGTCAAATCTGGTTCAAAACACTACAATGGTAACACGATGTGAATGTTCAGCCTGAGGATTTACACAGTACTTCACACACTTTTGGCATAAGTGTATATGTAGTCTATGCGAAGAAGAAGAAGAAGGAAGAGGAGGATAAGAATGAAAATGAGGAGGAGGTTAGGCACTTTTTTCCAAAGGTGTCACCACAGTAGATAACACCTGTCCACATGTTTGATTTGGCACAGATTTTTTTTCTGGATGCCCTTCGTGTGGCAACCCTTCCACTTATCTCTATATTTGGACTTTGTAGATACACTCAATATGTAAAACATAAACTTCTGCATCACCTATAAGATAATGTCTCCAGTCAACTAATCATGTTTCAAATAATAAATATGTTGATACCAAAGTACTGTAGTACATACCGCAGTACTGAGACAGTATATCTTTGTTCCAATTACCAAGAAATTAAAGCTGAAAGCAGCAATTATGAAGACTTTGCATCTTTGAAATTGTGCATGAGAGAAACTTCACAGGCATCATGTTGATGCCTTCAGAGCAGGGCTCTTATTGGATGCTGCATAAAGAAGACACTGTTGGTTGGTTGTGACGTGAGCTTCTGAATTGAACAAAAGAAAATGAACCTAAACAGAAGAGGAATGTTATTGTTTTATTTTATAGTATTTTCTATATTATACAGTATTACCAAATTATTAGATGCATTACATCAATCCATAACAATTACTACAAGACTTACATAACATTAAGAGAGAAACAGACTACTTTATGTTTAAGAAATGACTGTGAGTTCATGTTCATAATATTCTTCTTTCACTAAACTTCATCAAAAGAAGAAATTGAAGCCTATCTCAGGGTAAGGTACACCCTGGGCAGGCCGCCGGTTTGCGATTATATTTTATCTCTTTATCTACAGTTCAGTCCCTTCCTTGATGTCAGTGTAGTGAAAGACAACAAAGGCTATCTGCTCATGTATTTCCTGCTGCCCACACTCGAACAGACATGCAAAGCAGCCATCATCAATGTAAGCCAGGTCTGAGTAACCACTGGGTCCATCATTAATGATCCAGGGTTTGATCCATGCTTTTATCTGAGGTGGTTACATGTTCAGATACACTCCTAACTCAACCCTGTCTTTCGGACTGGTTGGGTGCGTGAACAGCAGCCACTTTACAAGGTTCTGGCTGGGGTCACTTTCTGTGTTTGCACTTTCTTGTTGAGCTGGGAAGGAGATCACACTTCCCTGACAGCCTGAACCTGTTTCCATAAGCTTGTTTCCAGGTTGGAGAATGTTGAACTTAACTCCATTATGATCACTAACTGCTTCCACTCGATAGCTGCCCACATTACAGGCGTTGCAGTAGATGTGGTCTTTGGAAAGTTCAGCCATTTCACACTCAACTGATACCGTATTAAACAGTTCACCAAATTTCCAGTTTTCACCATGATTATCACTATACAGTGAGAGTGCATACGATTTACAACAGCAACCGAACAAACATGCAACTGGTTTACAACAGCAATGCAAGAGGCAAGTACTTGTGCAATAAGCATAAACTGGGATAATCAGTCTACCACTCTCTGTTTGAATCCCATGGCCTGGCCCAACAGCAAATGTGGACCAGTTTTTTATTTCACTCAGTTCGTACGTCAAATCGGTCACATCGCTCCAGGTTTCTCCGAGATCCTCACTTGTGATGAAGCAGAGACGGGTCCTGTTGTCACAGTTTTCTTTCTGGTACATTTCAGTGATAGCGTCTAGTTTGTTGTTGACCTTGTCATACACCGGGCAGGGGTTCATTGGACGGTATCCTTTGATAAGTGCCTTTTCCACCTCTTTGAGCTCTGACCACTAAAAGAGAGATTGTTCATAAGTAAATAAAACAGAACAGTTCAAAACAGGAGCGTAATTAACAAGTAATTTAGAACTGAAATGGTTGATTATCACTATTACCTGAACCGTCTTCTTAGAGGATCCCTCCTTGATCTTTCCTGTTCTCATAACCAGCTTTTCTCCACTGGCATCATCTGAAGTCTTCCTCTGCTCTGCAAAGGCAAATAAAGTTTTACTTTCTCTCTCATACAGAAGAGCAGCGACCCTGTAAACGTTTCCAGCAGTTTCATTAGATGTAAAAAGAGTTTGCTTCTGCAGCTGAGCTTTTGGTACAGGTACGGTGAACATGGTTGGTGTCCTTGCATGCAAAACGACCATGTAATAAACGTCTTGCTGGTTATATCTCTATGACTGTCAAAGTTTATGTGATGGGGATTTTATAAGGCTGGTTTGTACACAGTGTGACTTTTCTTTTTCTGAAGAAATTATTAACATTTCAGTGAACTGAAGTCTCTCCTTGTTGAGAAAGTCAAGTCCAAGGAAGGAGGTGGTTCCGGAAAACAAGCTTAGATCAGAATTAACATAACCCGTCTCTGTAGGCAACTACCTCAGCAAACAGACACAACCCAGGTAGCATAAATTAAGCATTACTGGTTGGATGTGTGAAAAGCAGCCACTTGTTCAAGTTCTGGCTTGGGTCATTTTTTGTATTTGCACTTTCATTTTGAGTTGGAAAGGACACCACACTTCCCTGCCAGTCTGAATTTGTTTACACAAGCTTCCCAGCAGATTAAAGTGTGCTAAAATTAATTATAATTACTGACAGCTTCCAGTCAAGAGCCTTTGTCACTGTGAGAATTGCAGTAGCTTGAACTGAGGTCTTTTTCACCATGAACCTCTGTCATTTACCTGATCTTGCAATGACCATACTGCGTTATTTGACAATGTACTGCCCTCGTCATCACTGGAACTACAACGAATATCAAGTAATCAGTATAAAGTGGCACAATCTGTTTAAATACCAGTGATTACAGTGCTCTCTACACAGACCAAAAGGCTTTTGCTTGTCTTCTCATACACATCATGTCCAACCATGTGTATTAGGCTATGGCAGGGGTATCAGTTTAAAAGAGATGGCATCAGTTCGTCTATAAAAGAAGCAGCACCATGCATCAGTAGGGCATTGTAACAAATTTGCCCCAATCCATACAGTCTCTATAAATAGTAAATGAACCCAAACTTTGCACCAAAATCTCAGCAATCGTCTGTTCTTCTATTCTAAAATTGTACCCAGTGTTAAGCTCTTTAATTCTAAAGCTACACAAATTATTTATGGTATTTCAATATATCAGAATATACAAATACTGAAGCTTTGTTTACACGTTTACATATCTTTAAGATGAAAAGATGTAATACACAAGTTGCTCTTAGGAACCATGTTTCTATATTGATCCATGACAGGTAATCTCTACTAGGAAGTTTGATGTGACTCATAAATGGTCTTTTACCATGTTTTAACATTCGCCTTCAACCGAAATGACCGTCAGAGTACAGTCTGCTTTTCATACTCAGTCATACTCAGAGTTTTATTCGGCTACAGCTCACACACACACTCTCAGCCCTTGTAAAAAAAAAAAAAAGTGTGTGTATATTTCATGGTAGCCCAATAAAGTCAGCTGGTAAAGTCTGAGGAGGAGCCTTTGAGATGTGAGTCCTGTGACAGTAAATATGCTGCAGCATTTCAAGCAGGAGACCCCTTCCATTAAAACCTGCAATAGACAGATGATATACAGCAGCAGAGCCACAAACTCATATTTCATTCATACATCTGTGCAGCAAGTGGAAGAATTTATTGAAGGAGTGGAATTTAGTGAGTCAACATTTTACTTATTTCATAATTTCAATTTACTGTTTATTTAGTCTTGAATATGATTAACCTTTCATCTCGTTTTCTCTTTTATTACAGGAAACAGGAAATCCTGTTCAAGGAAGGATTTTTATAGCTTTATTTGTTTCACACGTCTCCCTTCAAACTGCTCACAAAGGATCCTTGGATGACACCAAATATCTGTGCTGTTACAGATTCTGTGAGGAAGGACATTTATTTTAAATTTGTTCTTTAAATTTTCTTTCTTTTTCTTTTTTTGATATCTAACATTTCCCTTAGCATTGTTTTGTTTTGCTCTTTCACTGTATTTATAAAACATGGATGTCATCTCCAGCTCTCAGGAGAGAAACACACTCCAAGTTCCTAACATGTGCATTCTGTCTAATGGCCAGCAGGGGCTCCTCTGGTTGCAAAACCAAGTCTTAAGGGATCAGTTTATGGTCTCAGTCTCCTGTTTCCAGTCTTACCCAAGTGTTGATTTTGCAACTTCAGTTTCTTTGAGTAAATGAAGAGATGAATTTATTCATCGTGACTTTCTTTTAAGACAGATGTGGTTTTAAAAGACTACAATTGTCGACACACAATTGTTAATGTTCAGCTTGAGGTTTCACACAACTTGAAAGACTAGTGGCTCATGTGCAGAGGTGGGAAGTAACTAAGTAAAAATACTAAGTAATTATGGTCACCTCCGATGGCTGCCCCTCCCTGAGTCCATTTCTGCCAGAGATTTCTTCCTGTTCAAAGGGAGTTTTTCCTCCTCACAAAAATTATTTGACTTGAACTGTATTGTATTAATCAGAATTTCCAGGTGTTTGTATTTTACTTGAGTTCTTATTTTTCTGAATTTTGTTTTACTTTTACTCCCTACATTTTCACATATACACCTGCACTTTCTACTTCTTGCATCTTCAAAACAGGCTCAATACTTTAGGTTTAGCACATCTGAGGTGAATTTATTTCATATCAAACTGATTTGAGCCTAAATGGTGAAAACAATGACACATAAAAAAACAAACTATTCTGTTAGACTGTCCATCACCGGGGCTTATTGCATACAAAGATGTGAAAGAGGCAAAAACATATAATTTATTTTCATTTATAGAGCTATTCATGGGGGTTAAAGTGGGCTAGAAGCTGTAAGCCTCTAGCTAGTGCAACAGAAGAAGAGCATGAAGGGAAGGTTTTTAAGGCAGGTCATTTCAAGTCACTCAGAGATGGAGAAATATGTGAGAAAAGACGGGACAGGAAGAAAAGAGGTTATCTTCATAAGCAAAGACTGCTCAAGGGTATTTGATAAACTTCAAATCTAAAGGTTTTATATAAGTCCTCATTTTTTCACCAGATATTTGATCTGTATATGATGTGAACTTGTGTTTTTTTTCACATTGTGAAATATCCTGCTAAACACACTTAGGTGTACTTACTTTATATTATTCAAAGTTTGCATGAAAACAATCTACAGTTTAGTGCAGGATAAACAGCTTAGTTTGTTATACTGTGGTGAATTTACAGTAAAACACTGAGTTGGACTGATGCAGAGCGGCTGTGGCATTCATGGTCAGAGTTAGGTTACAGCAAGTGCAGAAAATGACCTGATGCTTTGATTGGAAGCTGATTAGGTTTAGATTCATTCACTGAATATGACCTTTATACCAACTGTATACTTGTATCCTTTAATTTATGTCTCTTGACCTCTTTGAAATCTGACCACTGTCTAAGATATAATTTAGAATGCTGACAGACAAGAACAGAATCCTTAATTGTGGAGGAATTGTTGGGTAGAGCAAGCTTCTTTGTGCAGCTGAGCATTTCTTAAAGGTTCGTGTCCCTGTGAATAAAATGTCCTGCTGGGTTTATCTGCTGAAGTTGGGGCTCTTTATTTCACAACAGCATCGGCTGTTTTCTGAAGAAATGACATATTAAACTGAACAAGTGTGAAAGGTCAAACAAAGACGATAAACACACGAACACTTGCACACTGTGCACAAGGCTCACTTAGCAGTTGAGGCAACATGTAGACGTCTGCAGAACTCCAGAGTCTGATTGGATTGATTAGGTTATTGTTGTATTATAACTAAAGTATTATTGAGTATTGAGTATTTGACTTGAAAAAAATAATAATTATTAAATACATTTAAGTGTAACTAATTAAACTTAATGATCACAATGGATCACACTCTTAAATTTATCATTTGTCATAAGTCAACAATACATATGTATAATTACATTGTTTAAATTTCTCACATGTTATGTAACAGATTGAATGTTTAAAACTAAGATTATATGCTACATTCCCAAGTACTTGAGTAAGAAAATGATTTCCCCTGTGGAGGCTCCCTCCCTCAACATTCCTTACTTATAACCGTTTTGTACGATCGGGATTACATCTCTGAATCCAAGTTTGGTTGTTTTTTTATGTCATTGCTTTGTTTGTTTTTGGCACAAACACAGGCAAAAAAAGATTAGCACCATATTGTGCATTTTTTATAGTTTTCAAGAACAGAACTGGAAGTTTCTGTCAGACAGAAAAATAAAAAAATCATTTATTATAAATACGGTATAAGAAAAGCTGAGCAGTCTGAATATGAAATGCTGTAATGCGACTCTGTAGGTCAGTCAGTCCCTGTCTACCTTTAAACAGTCTTAAATTTGAGCCGATGGTATCCTCCACCCAAGAAATTAGCCAGTCTCTTCTGTATTTCCTGCACCAGTGGATGTGGAGACTCAACAACCAGAAAATGATGCCAGAGCATCGAGGTAACCAGATTATTCTCAACCAGGTATCTTCTCCTATAGTAGAGCTGTGGCTGGATTCGTGTCCATCAAGACAGTCAGGCACTAATTCTCTGCACTACACCTTCCCAGTTTTTCAAGTGAAAATCATCATTGCCAAGCATCTGTGTGGTTCTCAGTCATCCAGGTCATGTTAATCTAAGATATGATCACAATGGATCACACTCATAAATTTATCATTTGTCACGAGTCAACAATACAAGTCAGTTGAGTTAATTACATATTTTTTGCTACATTCCCAAGTACTTGAGTAACAAAATAGCTGATTTTCCCAGTGGAGGCTCCCTCCCTCAACATTCCTTATTTATAACCATTTTGTACTAGTATGATCTGGATTACTCCTTTGCTCTGTGAAAATTGTACGAGTTTCTCTCTCGTAGCAGTAATCTTCTGACCCTTTTACAAGCAGTCTTCCATTTTCAGAGGTTCAGAAATAATGGGAAAAACTATATAATTGCACAGTAGCACTCTGAAGCACCTGCCAATCAGTTTTCCAGCATTAACTGAATCTAAATGGAGAGTATATCATTGTAAATTTGAGAATTTACCCTGCTAATTCTATAAGCAGTTACATTATTAAATAATGCTACTATTACTCAGTCATATATGCTCATACCATGTAGTGGCTCCACTTTGTTTTACAGATACGGCAGTATCTTTCATGAGCTGGCTCTCTTCTTCTCCAGTGTTCATTTCTCATATGTCAAGCAATTTTAGACTTTTGCATATAAAATTTGCATTTATGGTCATGTTATATAACAGCTTTGATTTTTAAAAGCAAGACTGTGAGCTACATTCCTAAGTACTTCAGTAACAAAATATCTGATTCTCCCGGTGGACGCTCCTTCATAATCCCTCTTTCGTAACCTGCAGGTCTGTACTCCATGATC